GGAACTGGGGGGGGGATTGGAGATGCGATAGATTCTGCGCGCAGGGACGGGAGTAGGAACATTGGGTGGATGAAGATTGGACCAACATACTCGATGAGGTAGACGGTTCGCCAGCTGAGTTGACTTCCTGTATGTATTTCAGGTTAGAGAAATGTTGTCTTAACCCGCAGCTATGTATTTTGCGTTAAGCGTTTGAAAACGCGAAGCGACAATGAGGAAGGGAAAAAGGAAGTTTGTAGGGTCGCGGACCTAAATCTTTTACGTAGATGGTACTTTGGTTTCGGAGGCCTGTGGAGTGTATGGTGGCATTGTTGCTGTTGTGGATTGCGGTACCATCACTGGCCTTGGTGATCCTGATGCGGTGTATGCTGAGCCCGCACTTTACAGCAATGGCGTTGTATAGCTCCGGTCCGGTTGCATTGGGATTAATTGATAGCTCCCGAGGAAGCTTGGAGATTGGCTTGCCTGATAAGTTCGGGATTAATTTGTTAGATTTGAATATACAAAACTTCTACCATATCTAGTATCCAGCACGGGAGCTTTTGAGCTCTGGACTTACCTCGAGACTTGACGTTAAGGGTGATGTTGTTCGAAGCCATTGGAACACGGTCGCATGTATGAAATCCGGGAATTGATGAGAGATTGTGTGCTCTTCGAAGGTTGTCCTGACAATGAAGGATTCACACATGCACATCGAGTGGTTAAGTATCTCCCGAGGTCGGCCAGCTTGGCCTCTCCTTGTGACTCGATTTCGGATTAGTGCAGTCTCGAGGGCGTAGACGTTCTGCCAAGTCCTACATGTGAAGGTTACGGAGTGAAAAATATGAATACTGATATCTGAAGGCCCATATGGGATAGTTATATTTATCTCTGACGGGTGTTTTTTGATATATTATTAGGATAGTTAGTAGTTCTATCTTAATGTGATGAATTCCTAGCAAATTATATAAATAGCCATTTTCAAAATATGAATGAGCTCTTTTGAGATGATACGGCATCTCTAAAATTTAGAGACGTAGAAATTGAAATCAACTCTACTACCAGAGATAACACGGTATATCTATCACTACAGAATTGTACAGAATTGTTGAAAAGTTGATTGTTGAGATCCATTATTCAAAGGGTTCAAGCTCGAATTGTTGCTTCAACAAACAAAACCCTTTTTAACTCCGTAGCTTAGGCGGAGTTCATTCGGCCTAGCACGTGACTAGGTCCCGACGAGGACGAATAGTTATGATATTATTAGGCCCTCCGACAGGCTTTAACACCAAACAAGTGGAAGCAATAATTCCACAAGGAGATCCAAACGGCTCTCTGGGATACCGTCAGAGTTGCCGGCTGGCGGCCGCAGATATGGTATCCATAGATTAGCGCGGATACTTAAGATCATTTTGACAGGGTTGAGCAGGATATGCATATCTGGGGCGACGCAGTGGCTGCAGGCAGGGGCCAGCTGCCGAACCGCGCATCAGCCTGGTCAGCGGCGTTGGCAACAGGAAACGGGGTACTTAACCTGCATCTACCCTTGACATTTTGCTTTCTCGAAAAAGTCTAAGCGGAGCATTATTTGATAGAAATGCGGCGGCAGCCTGCAAAAGTGGACGGCACGGCATAAATGTGTAACCACAGCACATTCAAGTCCCTACCTCGATGGGCACAACTGACCCAGCTAACTCTGGATTATCCAAAGGATCTCCCAGGATGTCTCTCCTCGATATGAACAGAAGGGTCCTCAAGGTTGAACAGCTCGTCCAGCATATGCGGAGCGCCAGGTATAGCTTAATTTCAGGACTTCAATACCCGAAGCAGCAGGGAACGGCTGTACCAAGGTAACGGCTGAGGCCAGGAATCACAACGTCGCTTTGATTTAATTGCTTTTTATTTTTTCTTTTCATTTCGTTTGTTTTCTCATCTCTATTTTATGTTACTATGTTTTCAGCCTCCCTCATCAGCTCCGTGGGCAGGCGAGACCGACTTCACCGACCTGGATACGGTTTACATAGCACTCGAACCGACACCTACCGGCGCAAGCTGATTGGCAACCAGTACATACTTGGACACATCCAAGAATGGTGCAAGTGGGAATGCACAGTAAACTTCTGGGCCAAATGTACTGTACCTTTGCCTGCGACAGCTCCAATCGGCAAAGCGTGATTCGTGCCTATCAGTTCAAGAGGTGTGCATCCCTCAGGCCTGCACGCCCCATATTCTCCTTTCAAGGCTGAATTCCGTCCTCCCAATCGTTGTGCAAAACTGGCAACGACACTCGGGATCATCCCGGGACTATTTTAGATTCGGCGTCTCGTTCGAGCTGCGAATACTCCTGAGGGAGCAGCGGAACCCTGCTCAGCCTCAGCATCAGGGAATCGGAACCGACTTGTTCTGGAAAGATGATGCCATTCCTTTACGTATAAAGCGTCAACGAGTTCTATGTCGTTGATCTGTGTTGTCGATTCCTTTCTTTGAATACAGGTGTACTGACGTTTTGTGTTGCTTTCTAACATCGGAACGTGTCTTTATTTTGCTTGCCTGATTTGGTGGTTGCTCACGTTTCGGTAAATAAGTCAAGTCATGCAATGATGTCTTACCTCTGCTTTTATATTTTTCACGTCCTTAGTTGGACAACATATCCTCTCCCCTTTCTTTTTGTCCCCCATAGACTGTGGTTCATGTTGTCCAAAACACCTCATGGGCCATTTGTGTGCGTGTTGGGGGGAAAAAGGTTACATTTTAAAACCATGTCTCATTGCCCTAATAAAACCTTTATCTCATGCTCCAACCTTGGAAGTGCTCAGGGTGAACATGTGACACATATCGCCCAGGAGTAGAATTTAAAAGCCCTGATACACCTTCTTGGATTGACATTTCGATAACACTCATCACCACCATCGCCATGACTATAGGATTGAAGAAGTGGGCAGTTAGTCTCTGCGCCAGAGCTCTACTTCTTCCTATCGTCGCAGCTGTGAAGATAACATCGAGAATGACTGGATCCTGTGGGAAAAAGGCTCTCCGCGAAGAGATCGAGGATGGCGTTTTAAAACTGAGCCAACTCATTCACTCCTTGCTGCGACCGTTGCCTACCCAAACTGGGGATGGGACTTATGTCGACGAAACACCGCCTGAACCAAGTTTAATTGATGACCTAAATCAAGTGGACATCAAGGACCTAGAAACGCTGGCTGATGTCATTCGAAATGCTGCCACAGGAGCGCCTGTCAATGATAAAGATTATATCATGGAGAGAATCATCCGGGTAAGTTACAACCGCCAAACCGATATTTATAGCTCGATGTTGATTCCAAGTATTTAGCTCCCTTCTTCGTTACCCTCCAGGTCGCCAAATGTGGATAGGCTGAGCAATGCTCTTCTCTCCCTTCTCTGGAACGATCTAAAACATCCCCCGTTGTCGTGCGTATTTTATTCCAACTCCATTAGGGGATTTTATTGACGGATTAAATGTAGATATCTCGGTGAACAGTATGTTTACCGACAGGCAGATGGTTCCCACAATGTAATTTGGTATCAATTACCCACATCATTCAGTATTTGAAGCTAAATAAGATATAGAACATCCTTTGGCCACAAATTGGCATTGCAGGTTCTTCATATGCAAGGACTGTACCATCGAAGTCGGTCCAACCAGCAGTGCTCCCAGATCCGGGGGTCCTTTTCGATAGTTTGTTAGTCAGAAAACGGTTCAGACCTCATCCTAATAAAATATCGAGTATGCTATTTTATCTGGCCTTCATCATTATTCATGGTAGGCCCATACCATCTCCAAACATTATTTTTTTTACAATACTCACATAGCCATAGATTTATTCCGCACTGACCGCGATGATTATACATCTTGCCCCGCTTTATGGCAGTAACCAGGAAGAACAGAATACAGTGCGAACCTTCAAGGGTGGGAAGTTGAAGCCAGACTGCTTTTCCGAGAAGAGGATTTTAGGGTTCCCACCCGGTGTTGGCGTGCTTCTCATCATGTTCAACCGTTTCCATAATTATGTGGTTGAAAATCTTGCCCTGATCAACCAAGATAATCGTTTCCCGAAGCCAGCTGAGCCTAGTGGGAAAGCATATGCTAAATATGATAACGACCTTTTCCAAACTGGCCGGCTTATCACCTGTGGCTTGTACATAAACATCATTTTGAAAGATTATTTGCGGACCATTCTCAATATCAATCGGACGGATAGTGATTGGAGTCTCGACCCTCGTTCTGAATCCATGAGAGGTCTTTTTGGTACGGCGATCGACGAAGCAGGTGGCAATCAAGTTTCTGCGGAATTCAATTTGGTATATCGGTGGCATTCCTGCGTTTCGGAGCGTGATGACAAATGGACTCAAAATGCCTATAGGGAGCTATTCGGTGACGGCATGGACCCAAACAAAATATCCCTATCCGATTTTCTGCGGGTTCTCGGTAAATGGGAAGCTGGACTTTCCAAGGATCCTCTAAAGCGACCATTTGCCAAACTTGCCCGTGGATCAAACGGCTTATTTAACGATGACGACTTAGCCAACATTCTCACAGAAAGCATTGAAGATTGTGCCGGCCCATTTGGAACTTCACAAATCCCTGCTGTCTTCAGAGCCGTGGAAATTCTTGGCATCAACCAAGCACGCCATGGAGACTTTCGAGCCTCAACGAGTTCCGAAAACATTTCAATCTCAAACCTCATGAAACTTTTGAAGACATCAACCCTGATCCATATATTGCTGACCAACTGAAGCACTTGTACGACCATCCAGACAATGTCGAACTCTATCCTGGGCCCATTGCCGAAGAAGCTAAAGAATCCTTGGTGCCGGGAAGTGGGCTGTGTGCTAATTTTACCATATCTCGGGCAATCCTTTCGGATGCTGTTGCCTTGGTGCGAGGTGACCGCTTCTATACTGTGGATCAAACTCCGAAGAATTTAACAAACTGGGGTTTTAATGAAGCTAGCTACGATAACACAGTTGACAAAGGTCACGTATTCTACAAGTTGTTCCTCCGGGCATTTCCAAGCCACTTCAAGCCGAATTCGATCTATGCCCATTTCCCTTTGGTGGTCCCCGACGAAAACCGAGAAATTCTCACACGGTTGAATTCTTCCAGGAAATACTCGTGGGACAAGCCGGCGAGGATTCCCCGTCCAACCATGATCGAATCGTATGCTGCATGCGACGCGATTATCAAGAACCAAAAAGATTTTAAAGTTACATGGGGGGAGGCCATTGAATTTTTGATGCATAAGGAATGTCATTCGTTTGGCAGAGATTTTATGCTTTCTGGTGATGAGCCACCCAATGCGGCATCCAGGCAGATGATGGGAAGAGCATTGTATCATGGTGAATGGGAGGCGGAGGTTAAAAAGTTCTATGAGCAGATTACGCTCAAACTGCTACACGCAAAATCATACAAAATTGCCGGGGTCAACCAAGTGGATATTGTGCGAGATGTCGCAAACATTGCCCAGGTACATTTTGCAGTGGCCGTTTTCGGGCTTCCACTCAAGACTGGCGATAACCCACGCGGCATATACACCGAATCTGAGCTCTATATGATCATGGCGCTAGTCTTCGCTTGCATCTTTTTTGATGCCGACCCTGCCAAAAGTTTCCCTCTACGTCAGAGAGCTCGGAAGGTTACACAACAGCTTGGAGATATTGTCCTGCTAAATGTACAGCTGATCAAGCAAACTGGGTTCCTCAGCAACATGGTTGAACGATTGTATGGAAACAATATGCTGACGGAGTATGGGGTCCATATGATTCGCCGTTTACTGGATTCGGGACTGCCCCCTGAGCAGATTGTCTGGACACACATGCTTCCAACAGCCGGCGGCATGGTAGCGAATCAAGCACAATTATTTTCTCAATGTCTCGATTACTATTTATCAGAGGAAGGATCTATCCATTTACCCGAGATTCATCGATTGTCGAAGTTGGGAACTGCCGAAGCTGATGAGCTCCTTTTGAAATAGTGAGACACTCTCTCATCGAGCTCGTTGAGTTTGACTACGTCCGTCCGGATACTGACCAGACTCTATAGTTTTCTAGAGGGATCCAGGCTTCGAGCAACGGTGGGCGTGTACAGGGAAGTTGTCACTCAGTCAACAATCAAAGACGGTGTAAAAACACTGAGCTTAAAACCAGGAGACCGTGTTGCTTGTAACTTCGTAAGCCACAACCAACGCAAAATTGTCTTGAAACGCGATTCTGACCGTTTTTATTTAGGCCAAGGCGTCTATGGACCCGAAGAAGTTCCCTGAACCCGATAAAGTTGACTTGACACGGGATCTTGATTCATACATCCATTTCGGACAGGGCCCTCACAAATGTTTGGGCTTTGGGATTTGCAACGCAGCACTATCGACAATGCTCAAAACGGTGGGAAAGCTGGAAAATCTGCGACGAGCACCGGGTCCTCAAGGCGAGCTCAGGAGGATCCCTGGCCCTGGTGGCATTAGCAAGTATTTGGTTGTGGACTATACTAGCTACTTTCCATTCCCAACAACGATGAAGGTACAGTGGGATGGGGAGCTACCTCCATGTGCAAATTAATCAATGTGTCGTTTGAGAATATCGGCTAGACTATCACGTTTTCACACTTTGTAGTTTAAAATTCTGGTGATGATTTGCTCGGCTGTATTATTTTCTTTCCTCACATTTCCTGGTCCCTTTCTGTATTTTGCATATTGAGATCGAAGCGAATGAATAATTTAACGAGTAGAATACATATATTTGTTTATGTTTGTTAATTCCACGACGAGCGAGAAGTTTGCAATCGAATATATACATATTCTGAATACTGTGAATAGAGTTCAGAGGCAGGGTCGAACGGGCGTAGCCCGTAGCCGTGGTGCGCGGCAGCAGCAATACAGTACATTACCCCGTCTCAGTGTGTGTATTTAAATACATCCGTAATTTTACGCGGTGACAAACAAACAAGGCAAAATATTTGGCCAACATCCAACTCTCCGACGACTGACAAATATTTTTCTCTCCCTCTCTCCATCATCACCATCCCCTCCGCCCTCCGTTATCAAGCCTAGGCTCAAATCCAGAGGCTCATCGATTCGGATCAATTATACAAGCTGCTGGGAATACGACCTGCACTCGTTCTCCCTTTGCTTACAATCTGATAGCGTTTATCAGCCCATCCTGAACCTCATCGATCTCTCACCTTGCTCGCTAACTCAGAGTATATCGCTCTGAGCTGTGTGACACACCGGATTGCTTGCTTCTTAGGGCCAGTATTCCATTCGGAGGCCACTAACCGTAGGTCTGGAAATCAAGAAAAAAAGTCCTAAATATCTCACCCCTCCACCAATTTTGTGGCGAAGAAACGTCCGTCAAGCTACACTTGGGGAGCTACCCGACCTTATCGACCAGGTTCCTTCCTGGTAGCCGCACGACCTCCCATGGTGGACTACAAGGCTATATTCTAATATGGGGAGAATAAAGAAGGTGGCGGGCCTCAAACATGGGGCTACAATCGTAAGTTGCGCCCACCTTGCCGTTTTCATATTACTACTTGTGTTTTCCTCAGCTTCCCCGCCAAAATCATGTTGATACCGGCTGGGGTGAGAACGCCGACAACGTTGGGTGATTTTTTGCGCTCACATCTTCCTTTCTGCTCCACAGTCTCCTGCCTTAGCTACCTTCGTTCAACAAGCTACCACCGTTGACGTCCCAGAACTTCCCTCCCACCTCTCATTGTTCCCTCGCCGATGGCCATTCCCAAGAGGCGATCTATATCATTGGATTGTGGTGCTGAACCGGTTTGATACGATCCTTCAACAAGTGATAGAGAAGTATGATCTCCATTTAGGGCCGCAGACGAAGCCATTTGGCCGTTTGGTTCTTCATGACACATGTGTCTCCAGCGGTATTGCATCGACGGCCGAGGCATGTGAAGCACATCTCGACAAACTTGGCTTTGGGCCTGAGGGAGATCGAGAGCTGGTCGAAGCGCTCTTATCATTTTCAAGGCTCCTGCTGGAGAAATGTGGCAATCGGAGCCTATACAATAGCAGCGATCGCTTGAATGACCTTTTGAATACGACCTCACTTCCCCTTCTGCAGAACGTTCTCCGCCTCGGTGTCAGCTTAGCCCAACGGTACTTTTCCAGACAACGCCAATCTAATAGTACCCATTTTCACCAGAGTTTACTGGCAACACACTACAATATTGAATTGGAGCGCGTCCAAAAGCTTGCTGCGCCGTTTCCTAAACCTGCCCCTGCCAAGGTAACTGATACCTCGTCCGCTAGCGTTAAGGGAAAAGAAAAGGCTATTCAGGCCCAGACTGACCGTCGTGGTTCCGTCACCAAATGTAATGCGAACGATCTAATTGCCCTTACTAAAGGCCTCTCTGATACAGAACCCAATGGGTTCGCAGCTCATGATTGGGAGGAATGGGCTAACGTTAACATGTCGTATTACTCACCCTCTCCGGATGCTGCCGAGGATGCCGCTCCAGCAGGAGCCGGCGCCATCCCGCATCCTCCAGCGACCCCAACCCCCTTGCGTAGATCTTCTACTCACCCCAGCTCAAGATTGAGTAGAAGTTCCGTAACGGATGATTCACCAACGGCGCCGCCCACCAGCTCGCCCACCAGTAAATACGACGAAACAAATAGAGGAGTTAAAGTTCTGCATATCCCAAGCTCTACGATTGTATCCATGAGCATAGAGGCGGTTTTGCAAGCGCACTTAGAGGAGCTTCCAAACGATGCTTCGAAGTATGAATTGCTGCAACGACTTCGTGTTGCTTATGCTGTTGCAACATCCCCTGAGACCAGGCGTCAAATTCTTGGTGCTAGAGTCCTTGCGATCACGAACTTGGCATATATTTATCCAGAAACTCTCTTCCAGCAAAAGGTGCTTAACCATGATTCCGATATACCGAAACACCTGCAACTTGCCTACCAGCTTGCCGAATTTGTGCATCTTGGTGTCGCCGGTGACATTACAGCCTCAACACTGAACCAGACTTTCGCACTCAACTGTCTTGACGCACTGGCAAAACATAAATCCCGATCTGCGGATGTTTGTGCGGCTCTTAGCGTTAACGTTAACCACGGAATCCTTATGTTCCTCACGCGGAAGGCTGTTGCGGACTTGGCCGTCGAGGAGAAGCCGGACGACCCACCGGAAGGCGATGACTGGAGAGAGGCTCTATTTGCACTTCTTAGAACTCTTCCGAATGCTGGTACGAGAACGCCAGAGACTCTTGTGGCAGCTGGATTGATTCCTTTGTTTGTCGATATCTTGAACCTCAGGACGGAGAAAGCAAGAAAAATTTATCCTCGGGTCATGGAATTCTTGGATACATTTGTTCACTCTGTTCGGGATGCATTGGCAACATTGGCTGGAGCCAAAGGTTTCCATGCCATTTCAGATCTGATCTCTTTCGAGACGAAGACGTCATTTGATGCTGTGGCGAAGGACCAGGGAATTCCAGCGCCGTTTAGGACTGCCGCCATCGATTACCAGATTCCATATTTCCAGCAGCAATCCTTGAGGTGGCTGTTCAAGTTCGTCAACCATGTAATGCAACATAACAGCGGCGGATTTGAGCGCCTTCTTCGAAATCTTATCGATTCGCCTCCACTTCTCACTGCCCTTCGCTTGGTCCTGGAAAACTCTCGTGTCTACGGTTCTCATGTGTGGAGTGGTGCAGTAAACATTTTGAGCCATTTCATCCATAATGAACCTACTAGTTATGCCGTTATTGCTGAAGCCGGGTTGAGCAAAAGCCTTCTCGAAGCAGTGATTGGCCGGCCCATGCCAGGTGATACAACAGAAGCCATTACTGCCACTACTGATGATGACCATCATGCTCCAACTGAATCACAACCTCTGTTTATTCCAGCGTGTGCGGAGGCCAGCGATCGCGAGACTCTCAGGTCTAAGATTATTAGGCCATCTGGTCCTAAACTGGCTGAAGGAATCTTGCCTTCGACGGAAGCTATTGTGTGTATCCCGCAAGCGTTTGGGGCCATCTGTCTGAACCAAGGAGGCCTAGAGTTATTCCGAAAGTCGGATGCTCTCGAAAGCTTTTTCGAGATATTCGAAAGTCCAGAGCATGTGAAATGCATGAAGAATGATTCGAATCTTGTTCGCGTCCTGGGTAACTCTTTTGACGAGCTCGTTCGACATCACCCTCCTTTAAAGACTGCGGTCATGAGTTCCGTTTTGGTCATGGTCGCCCGTGTAGTCCAATATTGCAAATCAAAAGCATGGGAATGTGGACTTGGAGCTAAGCTTTGGACCGAAGGAGAAGATAGAAAGCTTTCCATTGCCGGAGGCGACTCTTCCTCGCTCGCAGACATTGGCTTTGCGTTCACTTATCCCATCGATAACCAGCAATCCCATTCAAGAGTAGAGTCGGCTGATACTGAGATGAAGACTGTCCCGACAACTTCTCAGGATGGAAACCCTTTGACACCGAAGATGGAGAACTTTGATTTGAAGGACCTTGATAGCCACGGTCTATCTGTTGCCAGCTACATGTTCCCGGCTGTGAGGTTCCTGCATGCCTTTTTCGAGAACCACACTATCTGTGCAAGTTTTATCGAGGCTGGTGGGGTTGAGTATGTCCTCGATTTTGCCACCCTCCAAAGCCTGCCATTTGACTTCTATAATACGGAGGCGAGCCAACAGCTGGCACAAGTGATCCATTTAATGGTCGAGGTCAAACCACACCTTGTGCTTCCTTCCCTTTTGAAACGAACTCAGGATGCCGTTGATTGCTTAGCTCCCTTTTGGCGACAATCTAGTGCCACTGGGTTTTTCGCTCCTTTGACAAACCCGTCGAAGAAGGCGGAAAATACTGCTGAGAGCCCAGAGTCCGAAGATGTGAAGGTCAAGGGAACCTATTTCGTAAAACATCTCGTCGCTGTCCATACTCTTACGGATATCCTCCGCGAAGCATATACGCCGCCAATCTACCCGACCCGGCCTAGTCAGCAGACATCTCCGTTTGTCCAGGTAAACTTAGCCGATAAATATGTTGCTCTTGTCAAACAACTTGGGTCCTTGCATTCAGCTTGCGTCTGGGAAGAAATATTGCTACAGAAGGATATGCCAGAATCTTGGAATGAAGCGACTAGAGTCCCTGGATATGGGCTTGGTGCAGAGGAAGGAAGTGAACCACCGAGTACTATGCCTACAGATGATGTATCTGAGCCTGGTGATGTGGCTGCTGAAGTCGCAACCGGGTCAACTGCGTCTGGGGCGGGTCCTGCCCGTGAACCTGCCGATAGTGAGATGAGATCGCGAACCGCGGTTACCCAAACCTCTGTTGGTTTAGAGAAGAGCGCGGCATTCAAAAACGTAAAAACTCTCCGTTACCTGCTCAGTTCTCTGCCCTCCTCTATAACTGGCTTCTTCCATCTATTGGGCCATGGACTTATCAGCAAACGACGAATGGATACTTATCAACGACAAAAGGCTGGCACCGTTGCAGATGCGATTGCATCGATGATCCTAGAAAAACTGAATCTTGATGCACCTAAGAAAACCTCTTGTGTAAAAGACCGGTTTTCGTATCTCATAGTCATATTGTCCTCGTTTTCTCAGCTGTTATTTGATAGTAAGTTTGTTTCCTATCCGATAACCTTAAAATCCCACTAACTTTGGTTGTAGCTACAGCTGAGCGCCCTCATTCCCATTGCCTCACAATGATTCTATCGGCTTTCAAGAAGTTGAATGGGATCCAAGCAATGAAAGACTTGTGTGGTTTATTCTTGAATGAGATCAGAACCCTTGATCCCCAAGCGCAGGAGAATAGGACTAAAGACGTTCCTGCACGCCTTGCTTCTGCTTACGGGGGGATTAAAATTATTCTTAATTTCTTTTCTGAAATGACATCCGCCCAATATATTATCGACTCAGCGCAAACGCAGGCAATGGCCAGTGCCAGCGGGGACAGAGATCGTCCTGACTATTTCCTTCCAGCCCAGTTCTTGGTCGAACTCCGAATGGAAGTCATACCAATGGCGCAAGAAATGTGGAGTTCTGGGTTCGTCGCAGAGGCATCTAGTTCTATCCTAAAATCTCTGATTGATATTCTCCGATCTGTCCTTGAAGGGGAATATGAAACGGGAGCCTTCCGTCGCGGTGAAAGCCTTCCTGCTGTTTCTGCACTTACTCCCAAAACCTTTACTTGCCATAGAGAGCGTCTGTCCACGCTCAAAGAGAATGGCCATGACGAAAATCTCGCCCGAGAAGCTCTCTACCGCTGTAATAACTCAGCGTCCGCTTCTGAAGAATACTGTATCAGCCAACGGGCTCTCCGCCCACCACCTAGGAGCCCAGTTCCTTCACATGACCTAGAGCAGGTTACAAGCAGTAGTAGTCCTTCGCTCCGCTCCAGCATCTTTGGAAATCTTGGTAGCTCGCAACCGCAGTCTGACAGCGGCCAGGTTTTGGCTTCTACGCCGGCCGATATCGCGTCATTGCTTGGTCACCTCGCCCAACCAAATCTGGGCGTAGAGGAAAGCGGTACAAACCAAGCAGAGAGTCGGCCGCCTCCTAGTCAAGGTGCGCAGAGCGGCGATCAATCAAGTACTAGCGGCCTTCTCGCAATGAGCATCGATAATATCCTTAATGACCAGGAAGAGTCCCCAAGTGAAGAGAGGATCGCACCTGCTCAGCGTACGGAGAGTGGTGCTCGACCTCCATCGACTGCTCAACCGGCTCCTCCAAAGAGGCAAGAAGTGGTTACCGTTGAAGACTTGGACAGTGAGCGTGATAAGGTCCGGAGCAACCTCATTGAACGATGTTTAGATGTGTTAAATGTCCATCATGACGTAACTTTTGAGCTCGCTGATCTTATTGGGTCTGCCACCACCAAGCTCCCTGATCCTGTCAATTTCCGTCGGGAGGTTGGCGAAACGTTGATGCATTTCTTGATTTCTCTCCAGATGGAAGAGAATTTCCAGTCAGCCGGAAAGAAAATAGCGGCATACGCTGGCTTGTTAGCTTTGGTCCTGCAAGATAAGGATGTGTACGAAGCTACTCTTGAAGAGTTGAAGGAAAATTTTTCGAATCTGTTTGGCTTTATTAAAATCCCTCCTGCCTCCTCTGAGAAACCTACCGAGGAATCGTGCCCCTGGATTCCGCAAGTCTTGCTCATTCTTGAAAGAGTCCTTTCGGATGACGTAACACCGCCATTAATTCGGTGGAACCCCCCAAGTTCTGATGGGTCTGTCGGACCAGAGGAGCCGGCAGAACTAGAGGAACCTGTTATCCCATTTTCTGACAAGATGGAGCTGTTTGAGACAATGGTCGATATTCTCCCTCGGATTGGGAAGGACGAAACACTGGCGCTGTCTGTTTCCCGCATCCTCGTCATTTTGACCCGTGAAAGGGAAATTGCTGTTCGACTAGGAGAAAAGCGCAATCTCCAACGCCTGTTTGTCATGATTAAGCAATTGGCTAGCGGTTCGGACGACAGACTTCAGAATACGTTCATGCTCATCTTGAGACATATCATTGAGGATAATGACACCATTCGACAAATAATGAGAAGCGAAATTGTTGCTGGTTTCGAAAGTCGATCCCCACGGCAGACGGACACCACGGGCTATGTACGCCAATTCGCGCACCTTATTTTGAGAAACCCGACACTGTTTGTGGAAGTTACGAATGAAAAATTAAAGTTGCAGCGATACGACACACACCAACGACCTCAACTCTTGGTTCTCAAGTCGGAAGTAAACGATACAGTTTCACGGCAAGATCAAAACTCTTCTAGCCAAGAGGACAATCAAACTGCGGATAAGCCAGACTCTATCGAACCTCATACCGAACCTCAAGATGGACAGCAAACTGAGAGCAAGGACGGCAAGGAGGACAGAGATGGCAAGGATAAGTGCAAATCAACAGAGCTCAAGGCTCCTGTTGTTGAAAATCCTGATGGCGTGATCCATTATTTGCTCTCTGAATTACTTTCTTATCGCGATGTGGACGACAAGGAGCCAACCGTGGAGTCTTCAGAGAAGTCAACGAGTCGCATAGAGTCTCAAAGCGATGTTGAAATGGCAAGCGGACCGGCGTCGCCTACTTCATCCATTTCGGGAACTCAGACTACAAAGCCCCCCAAGAAGGCTGAGAAACCTCAATTTAAGGCAGACGAACACCCGATCTACGTTTACCGCTGTTTCCTATTGCAGTGCTTAACAGAGCTATTGTCCTCGTATAACCGCACCAAAGTGGAGTTCATCAACTTTTCGCGCAAAGCCGATCCTTTCGCCACAACGCCTTCGAAGCCGCGTTCTGGCATTTTGAACTATTTGCTGAACTCGCTCGTTCCCATTGGGACGTTGGAGCATGGGGAATCTATCGCTTTCAAAAAGCGGGTCAACACTTCTAACTGGGCGATGCGCGTGATTGTAGCCCTCTGCACCAAGACGGGGGAATTTGGTGTTCCATCCAGGCGTCGCACCATTCCGAATGATGACAACGAACCTGAACTCCTTTTTGTCCGCAAGTTTGTTCTCGAACATGCCCTGAAATCATACAAAGATGCTAATGCGTCGAATGAACCTCTTGATGCAAAATACGCACGACTTCTTAGTTTAGCCGACCTGTTTGATAAGATGCTCTCCGGAGGCACAAATGGAGATGGCACCACACATTTCCCTTCGTCTACTCGCCAGGTTGCGAAAACTATGTTTGAAAAGAATTTTATTTCAGCCTTCACAGCTTCTATATCCGATATAGATTTGAATTTCCCGCCAGCAAAGAGAGCTGTGAAATATATTCTTCGACCGCTGAACAAGCTTACGCAAACTGCAGTCTTGTTGAGTGAAACCTCGAGCATTCAAACCACACCAGGGCAAACTGATGAAGATGATATATCTTCGGCAACCTCCGTATCTGATATAGAAGATGATCGAGAAGAAACCCCCGACCTTTTCCGACATTCTACGCTTGGCATGTTTGAGCCGAATCATGAGGAGGGAACGACTAGCGAAGAAGACTCGGAGGAAGACGAAGAGATGTATGATGATGAATATGATGAAGAAATGGATTATGAAGAGGATATGCCAGAAAATGACGGAGAAGTTGTCAGTGATGAAGATGAGGAAGACATGGATGGGCGAGGGCCCCTTGAAGGTTTGCCTGGTGATTCTGGTATGGATATTGAAGTCCTCATCGAAGGGGATGACGATGATGATGAAGATGATGACGACGATGATGAGGATGACGATGATGAGGACGATGATGAGGACGATGACGATGACGATGACGATGACGATGACGATGATGAAGAAGGCTCCTTGGCCATGGACGACGAATTGATAGCAGGCGAAATCACTGGGGACAATGACAATGATAGCCTCCGAGATGGAGACGAAGGTGAATGGGAAAGCGAAGATATCTCGGACAATGAGGAAGAGGAAGACGGTATGAACCAACTAGAGAACGAATTGGGTGATTTTGCTCAAGGTGACCACGGGTCTAACCTGCAAAATGTATTACGGATTCTAGGGGAGCAAAATAGAAACCGCCTTGATATTCATCAGCTTGAATTGGATATAGGAATGGGAGAAGAACTTCACGACGATCTGATGGATGACGAAATGCAGGATGATCAAGGTAAGATTCTCATGGTTCTACTCCTCCCTGTGGGCGATTTTTCCTCTTACGATTTTTTTAGATGAAGATGAGGAAGTAGATGAGCTGGAAGGTTTGGACGAAATTGATGAGGACGAAGACCTAATTCAGACCTTTGGTACGATTTCACTATTCCAAGTGATTTCTTTTCTTTTTTTAAGTTGAGTTGATGACTGATAGAAATTGAAACAGATTTTGACCACCCACATCGATTCATGCTGCACGACACCGACCCTGCAATGGATCATAACCGCCACCAGCATGGCCGATTCCGTGGAATACCTCCCCCCCCATGGAGCATGTTTTCTGGAGGCCTTAGTAATCGTCATGGTATTATACCCATCCCTGGTTATAGAACTCATCGGACTCAAATCCCCTCGCGCGGAAATGACGATGGGAGTAACCCGCTGCTACGTCGAAACGACCGCACTACAGATGTTACACGTAGATCCAGAGGTCCTCCCGAAGCTTTGAGTGACTGGGTCCACGCAATCGACCCCAGCCATCAGGGTCGACTCCTCTCGATGGATAGCCCGGTTACATTCATGAATGCAATTATGCAAGCCCTGGGTCAAGGCGGCGGTAGCTTTGGTGTCGTTAGTCGTCCAGATGGAGTCCATGTTCGTCTTGACCAAGGCCACGTCTTCACCAATCGTATACAAGATTTGTTTGGCCTTAGTCGACCACCAGCGACTACCACACGTCCTCGTGACGATCCTTATCAAGCAGTCACGTTTGTTCTATCCACAACTTCCACTCGTTGGCAAGAAGAAGCACGTCTCTTGTTTAACAATACTTACTTGGAGAAAGCCCAACGAGTTGTAAATTCACTCCTCAAAGTACTTGTTCCCCCGGCTATTGAAGAAGAAAAAGTCAGGCAGAGGCAATTGGAGGAAGAGCTTTTGCGACGAGAGGAGGAGAGGGTCGAACGTGAGCGTCAAGAGCAAGTCGCGAAGGAAGAAGCCGAGCGCGAGAGAAAACGGAAGGAGGAGGAAGAAGAAGCGCTACGCCGACAACAAGAAGCTGAAAGAGCTGAGAGAGCAGCTGAAGAAAGTGCGCAGCAAGTCACTGGACACCCCGAAGGCGAGCCGATGGACGACGTACAGCCTACCGAGTCGACACAAGAGCAAGTTGCTGCTCCAGCTGAAACAGATCCTGCGGTGGCCGGCCCTTCAGAACCTGCGCCCCGCATCCACACCACAATCCGTGGTCGACAACTTGACATTACCGGGATGGACATTGATCCAGAGTATTTGGAAGCACTTCCCGAAGATATCCGTGAAGAAGTCATCATGCAGCAACTCACCGAACAGAGATCGCAGGCTGCAGCATCCGGCGAAGAACCAAGTGAGATAAACCCAGAGTTTCTGGAAGCGTTACCTCCTGATATCCGTGAAGAACTCCTGCAACAGGAGGTCGCTGATCGTCGACGTCGTGAGCGGGAGGCGGCACGTCGAAATGCCGCTGCAAATGGTGGCCCAGCTGCTCCTGATGACATGGACCCTGCCAGCTTCATTGCCACATTGGATCCTTCTCTAAGACAAACAGTGCTTGCCGATCAGCCCGAAGAAATTCTCGCGTCTCTTGGTCCTGAATTTGTTTCGGAAGCCCGCGCGCTTACAGGCCGAAGGCTTGCTCAGTTTGGGGATGTAAGCAGACTAGATCAGAGCTCGCGACCTGATACCACTCAACGTGATCAAGGAGCTAAAAAACCACAACGCCGGCAAATTGTCCAGATGCTTGACAAGGCCGGTGTAGCTACCCTCCTCCGTCTCATGTTCATGCCCCTTCAGGGAAATGCACGGCATCATATAAATGACATCCTTCATAATGTCTGCCAAAATCGCCAAAATCGGTCGGAAGTGCTTAGCCTTTTACTTTTGATTCTCCAGGATGGAAGTGCGGACGTATCTGCTGTGGAACGCAGTTTTGCTCATCTATCACTGCGAGCTAGGACCCCAACAGCGTCGCAGCGAACCCCGCAGTTGAAGCGGACATTGTCATTGCCGGTTCCTGGTACCAATAACGACGTCACCCCGTTGGTTGTGATCCAGCAATGCTTGGGAGCTTTGTCGTTCCTCACTCAATACAACCCCCATATCGCATGGTTTTTCCTGACCGAACACGACACAGCAGCCGCTCTTAAAATGAAAGCACTGAGGAAAGGAAAGGCCAAGGAAAGTAGAGCCTCTAAGTTTGCTATAAACTCTCTCCTGTCCTTGCTTGATCGCAAGTCAATCATGGATAGCCCAAGTTGCATGGAACAACTCTCTAGTCTCCTCAGCAGCATTACTCAACCATTAACTCTCCTCCTACGAAAAGACAAAGAGAAACAGGAGAAAGACGCCAAAGAGAAAGACACGCGAGGCGCTGAGGCCGCTGCTGAAAGCGCGCAACCTGTGCAACCTGTAGAGGCCACGTCCCAGGAAACAGAGGGTTCTCGTACTGCCGATGAGCCAGCCCCGCGTTCCGATACGATGATGCCTGATGCTGCTTCCGCAGAGCAAGAGCAAGATCGTCCGGAGGCCCAGGTTGTGGGATCGCCTGCCGAAGAAAAGGCAGAATCTTCAAAACCGGCTGAGGAGGAGAAACCAAAAAAACCTCGTATTCCTGAGCCCCCTGTGGTGCCAGAGCACAATCTTCAGTTAGTTGTTCGCATTCTTGCTGCCCGAGAATGTAATGGCAAAACATTCCGAGAAACACTTTCGACCATCAACAACCTCTCTGCTATCCCTGGAGCCAAAGAAGTTTTCGGTCAAGAATTGATTGCCCAGACACAGAGCCTCAGCAATTCAATCCTGGTTGATCTCGAAGAACTTCTTCCCCACATTAACCAGGCGGAGACTGGCATCGAAGTGCAGGGTATGGCACTTGCCAAATTTTCTCCTGCTAGCTCTGATCAAGCCAAACTACTCAGAGCTTTGACTGCCCTTGATTATCTATTTGACCCAAATAGGCTTGACAAGGAGAGGTGCAGCGAGCCCGAGTCGTCTAATAACGATGAAGTTTTGAAGACACTTTATGAAGGTGCCACATTCGGACCACTCTGGGCAAAGCTGAGCGAATGCTTACATGCCATTCGACTGAAAGAGAACATGCTCAATGTTGCCACAATACTTTTACCACTCATAGAATCACTTATGGTTGTATGCAAGAACACCACTTTGAAAGACTCTCTGCTACCAAGACATGGACGGGAATATTCTGTTTCTAGTCCGCCGCCCGATTCTGGGATGGAAGCCCTATTCTTCAACTTCACGGAAGATCACCGCAAGATTCTCAATGAGCTTGTCCGCCAGAATCCTAAGCTCATGAGTGGCACGTTCTCCCTTTTAGTCAAGAACCCGAAGGTATTGGAGTTTGACAATAAACGCAATTACTTCACCCGTCGGATCCATTCACGCGGTAGCGAGATCAGACATCCACATCCCCCATTACAACTCTCCGTTCGCCGAGACCAAGTTTTCTTGGATTCCTTTAAATCGCTCTACTTCAAGACTG